AATTATTACGGGACAAGGGGTTACTGGCCCATTGTTTCCGACATTTTAGTTGACTTTTACAACACGCATGGCTTACAGAGGAAAGATTCTTAATCCACTTCCTTATGGATATAAAATGAAAAATAATAAGACCAAGAACTATTAAGATAATATCAAAGAAAATTCAGATGTGTGTGTATAAATGAATATGTACATGCATGTGTAGTGTGACCTAAGTGAAAGTAGAAGTAGTAAGACATACCTGTAATCTTGCATATTTATGAGACAGACAAAAGACACCAGCAATCCTACTATCATGCAAAACAATTACAGGCTTTCGTTTTACACTCACTTGGCAGGACGGTAGTACCTCCGGCCCATTTTGGTTTTAGGCTGAGCTTCTGGAACGGATTCTGGCCGATAACTGAGGGTTCACTGTATTACTACTACGTATTACTATTAGTACTACTATTGCTGTTAGCACTATTATTACTATTACTTTTATTACTACTATTACTATTATTACTACTTCTGTTATTATTATGACTATTTCTACTATACTACTAGTACAACTGTTACAATACTACTATTGCTAACAAACCATGGTATGGGTGGGGCTCGAACTCAGCAAGTGATTTGTAAAACTCCTGTGGTTTGTTTGCAATCATGTTGTTATGCTACTATTGCTACTGCTGCTGGTGCTGGTGCTGCTGACACTGCCACTGCTTCTGCTACTAGTATTCTTCTTTTTAATGGTCAGAAAATAAATGCATACACTCAGGAAAGAAAGTTAAGAAAGAATTTTAATCTTTAAGAAAGAATTTTAATCTTTTTATGTGTGTAAGTCTTCATGCTATTCTTGCTACATTGCAGAATTAATTTGATTTCCTTTCTCCTGTTTCAATCTTCTTTTGGTCTACTTTCTCTACTTGTGAATGAGAGAATTGATGTACTAGCTTAATCCAACCCCTTCATAAGAGCTGGGAAGAGAGGATCACATGCAAGTGCTTTAGCTTTGAACTCTGTATTTTCCCATAGAGGAAGGAGCCTGATGTTATGTTTGTGCATTGTCTCTGACATTAAAAGAGCAGGGATTACCACCACCTGAGTTCAGTTTATATTGCTGCTAGTAGGAGGGGAGGATGGATGGAGCAGGGCTCATTAATTCATTGAAGTGAGGAAAGGGAAGAGAGAGTGTGTGCAAGGGCAGGAACAATCTCACAAGAGGTAAAGTGGCTTCTTTAGACCTTCCCTCCTTCCACCAGCAAGTGTTTTTCCTCTTTATGTATTTGCATGTACTTCAAAATATATGTACAAGTTGAAATTAGTCAAATATATGTACAAGTTGAAATTAGTCAAAATATATGTACAAGTTAAAATTAGTCAAAATATATGTTCATGTTGAAATTAGTAATGTGGGTTATCAACTTAATCTGGCGTAGCTGCCGTAAATGGACAAAATAAGATTTATAGTTTTTGTGTATTAGTAATTTTGCTTATTTTTAATTTCTGTGGATAAATTGGATTCTGATGAATTTGGTAGGGTATGTAAAAGAAAAAAAATTAAAAGTGAATATAGGAAAGAGTAAGGTTATGAGGATAACAAAAAGATTAGGTGACGAAAGATTAGATATCAGATTGGAGGGAGAGAGTATGGAGGAGGTGAATGTATTCACATATTTGGGAGTGGATGTGTCATCAGATGGGTCTATGAAAGATGAGGTGAATCATAGAATTGATGAGGGGAAAAGGGTGAGCGGTGCACTTAGGAGTCTGTGGAGACAAAGAACTTTGTCCTTGGAAGCAAAGAGAGGAATGTATGAGAGTATAGTTTTACCAATGCTTTTATGTGTGTGTGAAGCATGGGTGATGAATGCTGCAGCGAGGAGAAGGCTGGAGGCAGTGGAGATGTCATGTCTGAGGGCAATGTGTGGTGTGAATATAATGCAGAGAATTTGTAGTTAGGAAGTTAGGAGGTGCAGGATTGCCAAAACTGTTGTCCAGAGGGGTGAGGAAGGGTTGTTGAGGTGGTTCAGACATGTAGAGAGAATGGAATGAAACAGAATGACTTTGAGAGTGGATAAATCTGTGGTCGAGGGAAGGTGGGGTAAGGGTTGGCCTAGGAAAGGTTGAAAGGAGGTGGTAAAGGAGGTTTTGTGTGCGAGGGGCTTGGACTTCCAGCAAGCATGCATGAGCATATTTGATAGGGGCGAAGGGAGACAAATGTGTTTTAATACTTGACATGCTGTTGGAGTGTGAGCAAAGTAACATTTATGAAGGGATTCAGGGAAACCGGAAGGCCTGACTTGAGTCCCGGAGATGGGAAGTACAGTGTCTGCATTCTGAAGGAGGGGTGTTATTGTTGCAGTTTTATAAACTGTAGTGTAAAGCACCCCTCTGGCAAGACAGTGATGGAGTGAATGGTGATGAAAGTTTTTTCTTTTTGGGCCACCCTGCCTTGGTGGGAATCAGCCGATGTGTTAATAAAAAAAAATAATTTGGCTTCTTTACTTTCCTCTCATTTCTTAAGGAATAAGGAATGTTGTACATAAAATAAATAAATATGAAGGACAGATAAACCATAGAATTGATAAAGGAAAAAGGGCGAGTGGTGCATTGAGGTGTCTGTGGAGACAAAGAACATTATCCATGGAGGCAAGGAAGGGAATGTATGAGAGTATAGTGGTACCAACACTCTTATATGGGTGTGAAACATGGGTGGTGAATGTTGCAACAAGGAGAAGGCTGGAGGCAGTGGAGATGTCATGTCTAAGGGCAGTGTGTGGTGTAAATATTATGCAGAGAATTTGTAGTGTGGAAATTAGGAGGTGTGGTTGCTAAAAGTGTTAGTCAAAGGGCTGAAGAGGAGTTGTTGAGATAGTTTGGTCATTTAGAGAGGGTGGATCAATATAGGATGACTTGGAGGTTGTACAAATCTGTATTGGAGGGAAGGAGGGGTAGGGGTTGTCCTAGGAAAGGATGGAGGTAGGGGATGGAGGGTAATATTTTGTGAAGGGATTCAAGGAAATTGGTTAGCCAGACTTGACTCCTGGCAGTGGGAAGTACAGTGCCTGCACTTTGGGATATTGGCTGTTTCGAGTGACATCTAAACTGTCGTATCTGAGTGCCTCTGCAAAGACAGTGATTGTGTGAATGTTGGGGGATTTTTTTTTTTTTTTTTTTTTTTCACCCTGCTTCGGTGGGAAACAGCCAACTTGTTAAAAACAAAAATGTGTGCACACACATATGTGCATGCATGCACACAGAACAACTACTGTGAAAAGAATAGTGAACTTCCAAGTGCTTTCATGATTTCTCACTATCAAAGAACAGTTCATTGATGTGAGAAATCATGAAAGTGCTTGGAAGTTCACTATTTTTTTCACAGTGGCTGCTCTGCTTATTGTGATGTCACCTGTTTACTGTGATCTTATTGCATTTATGTATCTATATGTATTTTTTTTTCTTATGTACATAGTGAAAGTGTTGAATGATGATGAAAGTATTTTCTTTTTGGGGATTTTCTTTCTGTTTTGGGTCACCCTGCCTCAGTGGGAGACGGCCGACTTGTTGAAAAAAAAAAAATGTACATAGATTGTAATGGTCACTGAAAAAGTTTCTTGACTTCATATGCTGATCTGTGCTGATGGCAAGCATAATTTTCTGCAAAATTGTTACAGAAAAATTTATCTAATGGCTGTCTGTGAAGGACACAGCACTTCATTCATAAATATTTCCTCGTAATGATTCATTGTCAGTGTTGTACTAAATAAGATTGCTGAGAGTGAAATTTATCCAGCCACTAGAACTTAATTTTTGGCTGTATTGATATACCACTCCTCATGAATATGCAGTAATAATAATCATTATTGGTATACAACAGAATCTGCATCGTTCATAATCTCCTTATTTTCAGCTATGTAGTCAGTCATTCCATTGAACAAAAACCAAATGCACTTTATTAAATGTATGATAATTTGAATTTCTTTATCACAGTCTGTGTTCAAGCTGTTTGTCATTAAAAAGAAGACAATACCATAGGTATAGGTATAGCATTTGAATTTTGTTTTTAACAATACATCTGAATAAGTAGGCCTTCAGTCATAGACATATAGTTTTGCCAGCTGAGCAGGCTCTATAGTAATGAGGGTGGTGGGTAATTAGGCATGTGAACAGCATGTTAGGGGTGAAAGGTCAGGTAAGGTGTGGGCATGAGGTCATGGGGAAGTGGTGTGTATGAGAGCATAAGGGTGGGCAAGGTGTGATCTTAAGGTAGTAGGGGACTGTTGCCATGGGCATTATTGTATATGCAGGTTGTGTGGGTGGAGGTTGCTGGTTGGGATAGTGTGGGTGAAGGTGTGACTGTGGGGGAGTTGTTTGGGCAGAGGTTAGTGGGTGTGTGTCAGGGAATGGGTGGAGGTAAGCTGTATGCCAGATGTGGGTGGCCAAGGTATGGTATTGGACACGTAGAAATGGAACTCTGAGACGAGGAAGGTTGTATGCATTAAGTAGGCCTACCTCATAAGACAACAGCCTCTCCTGTACATTCATCATGAGATGAAGGGGAAAGATTCTGGCACATGCCATACTCCCCTACATTTGCTCCACCATGTAACTGATTAATACAGCTTTCACTGAAAACATGCTACAACTTTGCAACAGTGCTAAGACAAAAACTTGTTAGAAGATCTTGTGTTAACAATGGTCTACTGTACTGTAGTTTTGTAATAAAAATTATTTAATATTTGATATCAGACTAAAAATTTTTATTTAGTATTGCTAATATATTTTTCATGATGCATGTGCTCATTTCTAGGCACTTTATGGAGACAGAGCTGTGAAGTTGAGATGCTTTTTAATAATTTTAAGAGTTTGACATTTTCTTTGGTTTTAATAAAATTTGCTTATTGAGAAACCTAATGTGTCTTGTAAACTGTGATATTCTTGTGTGTGCATGGTAACTCAAGTGCATGTCAGAACTATTTCTCTTTATTTTGTGACACTAGCATCCTAACTTGCAGGATTCGAGTGGAGATCCTGACTTTGTCCCTTGTCCTGACAGTTTAAAGGAAATAATTTCCGGGGAAGAATCTTTCCAGGTATTAAATTTTTATGTGGTTTATCAGTGATCAATAAATTTTCTATTTGAGCAAAATTTTTGTGTATGGGTTTTTCATGAACCACTAGGAAAACATGTCTGTTTTAATCTCCTAAACTACCAGTTTCAGGGTAATTGTCTAGCTAAACTCTCTTTCTGTCTCTGTTTTCTATTTGACTGCTAGTTTTCTTTGCCAGTCAAGTCTGATCCATAAACACTGGCCATTTTTACATTGTCAGCTAAGTGCCGTTCTTCATGTTTGTTTTACAAAGTTCCTTACTGTATACATGTTTTTGCAGGCAGTTGATAGATCTACAAAACGAGTTAAAGATTGTAATTGGCGTAAACCAGGTGTTTAAGTTTGTATAAGATATATATACATGTTCCTCCAGAATGGAGGATAGGTATAGATATACAGGCGGGCCCCATTCGTATGGCTCCTAAAGTCCATGACCCCAGATGATAGCCAGAAATCACCAGCAGGTGGAAAAGAGCATTTTTTCATTATCGAATGCCTCTAAATGCCCGATAATGTGTTTATCATATATTAAGTGTGCAATACAGCTAGACATGAAAAAAAGTAAAAATAAATACACAGTACATACAGTACTTACCTTACAATACAGAGCCATTCAGCCTTCTCTAACGAGCCTTGCCCATGGCCGGGTTCTGGGAATAGAAAGACTCAAAACTCATGAAAGGGATATACAGCTGTTGTATGAAAACTGCAATAATGGCAGAAAAAGAGTAAAGGCACTGAACATAATGAACAGTAGCTCAGTTGAAAGCCAAAGAAAACAGGGAACACACAAAAGTGGGAGGCGTATACGTGGGGCCCTTCTGTACTCTTGATGAGTTGTGCTCATCAGAGGCAAAGGAAAATTCCTTGCCAGAGGAAGGTTATGATTACAAAAGTACAGGGAAAGTCACAGGTGAGTTTTCAGTTGTTGAGGAAGATAAATCACCAGTTACAGTCACTGGGAAACTGTTGCTTTTCTCATTTGACAACCTGTTAAGTCATGAGGAATGAAACTTTCTTTAACCCTTTGACTGCTTCGGTCATATATATATGTCTTACGAGCCAGTGTTTTGGACGTATATATACTCAGTAATTCTATCGGCTTCAAATCAAGCAGGAGAAAGCTGGTAGGCCCACATATGAGAGAATGGGTCTGTGTGGTCAGTGTGCACCACATAAAAAAAATCCTGCAGCATGCAGTGCATAATGAGAAAAAAAACTGACCGTTTTTTTGGATTAAAATGCCGACTTTGAGGTGTATTTTCGTATAGTATTTATCGTTGTTTTCTCGTTTTCATGGTCTCACCTGATAAAATGGAAAACATATTGCAGAAATAGAGATGATTTTGATTAGTTTCACGATGAAAACGACCTTGAAATTGAGCTAAAATTAGCGGAAATGTTCGATTTTTACCAATGTTCAAGAGAAAGCAAATCACACCACACGTCAAATACACGTAAACTGGGGAGTCTAATATTCTATCACTAGTGCACTGATATTATTTTTATCATTTTTACAATAATGCAGTAGTCTGCATAACAGTAAATTTTGTATTTTTTGTATGAATAAAAAATCAAAATAGAAAGCAATAGTAATATAAGAGGGGCCTAGAGACATGACTAATGAACAGAGGATATGTTATTTTAGTGCCAAGAATGCCTACATTGTTTATTCTAGACCCTATTTTGAAATTGGCATCTTTTTTAATTTGCGTGAAATTAGCCAAATTGCCAATTTCTGACCACTGTATTGGGTAGTTCAGATTGGTAAATGGGCAGTTTCTTGTACTCAGTTGATAGAAAAAATGGAGTTCTAAAGAAATAGCTACGAGTTTGGTCAACTGGAACAACGGAATTGGCCGAAACAAATTGCCAATGCGTACATGTCGCCGAGGCCGCTAACTTCATGGGAGTGTAATTCCGTGAGTTTTCGACCAAATTTCGTACTTTTGGTGTCATTACCATCAGGAAAAGATTCTCTATCTTTTTTTTTTTTTTAATTTTGCAACATAGTATGACAGTTACAGATGTGCCTGCGACAGTCAAAGGGTTAAGAGATACATTTGAGGATCCATACCAGCCTTTCACATTAAGACAGGTACTGGTGAAAGTAGAAATTGATTCACAAAGCATTAACAAGAGTCCCCAGTTAACAACTGACCAAAATTTTCCTTGACAAAATTAGGTTCTGTTTAGTTAAAGTATTTGAAGAGGATCAGTGAGCACCTAGATCTAATGGAGAAACAAGTTAGCCATCTCCTTATCAAGGCATCAGTAAATTTAACCCTTTCAGGGTCAAGAGGCCAAATTTCAAAGGATGCACCAGTGTCCAAGAATTCTCAAAAAATAATTTTGCTATTTTTTCTTATGAAATGGTAGAAAATCTCTTTCTGAGTGTAATAAAACAAAAAGTATGAAATTTGATGGAAAATTGACAAAACTATGCTCTCACAAATTTTGATGTGTCAGCAATATTTACGCATCGGCGATTTTGCGGACTTTGACTCCCATTTTAGGCCAATTACATTATTCCAGTCGACAAAATTCTTAGCTATTTCACTAGTATTACTTCTATCGATTGAGCACAAGAATTCGCCAAGTCAACTGTTTCAACTACAAAATAAAATGATCGGAAATTGGTAATTTGGCCAATTTAATGCAAAGTTCAAAATACTCCAATTTCAAAATAGGATCCAGAATAAACAATGCAGGCATTCCTGGCACTAAACTAACATTTGCTCTGTTCATTAGTTACGTTTTCAGGCTTTACTAATGAATTCCATTTTTATTTTTTATTCACATAATAAATTTTTATTCAAACCAAAAAAAATAGAACATTTTTTTTTTTTATCATCACACTGGCTGATTCCCACCAAGGCAGGGTGGCCTGAAAAAGAAAAACTTTCACCATCATTCACTCCATCACTGTCTTGCCAGAAGGGTGCTTTACACTACAGTTTTTAAACTGCAACATTAACACCCCTCCTTCAGAGTGCAGGCACTGTACTTCCCATCTCCAGGACTCAAGTCCGGCCTGCCGGTTTCCCTGAACCCCTTCATAAATGTTACTTTGCTCACACTCCAACAGCACGTCAAGTATTAAAAACCATTTGTCTCCATTCACTCCTATCAAACACGCTCACGCATGCCTGCTGGAAGTCCAAGCCCCTCGCACACAAAACCTCCTTTACCCCCTCCCTCCAACCTTTCCTAGGCCGACCCCTACCCCGCCTTCCTTCCACTACAGACTGATACACTCTTGAAGTCACTCTGTTTCGCTCCATTCTCTCTACATGTCCGAACCACCTCAACAACCCTTCCTCAGCCCTCTGGACAACAGTTTTGGTAATCCCGCACCTCCTCCTAGAACATTTACTGTTATGCAATATTGAAATAATTGCATAAATAATATCAGCACATTTGTGAACGTATATTAGACCCACCAGCAGGTGTGTATTAGATGTGTGAGGTCATTTGTTTACTCTTGAACATTGGCAAAAATTTAACATTTCTGCTACTTTGAGCTCAGTTTCAAGCCATTTTCAGTACTAAAACCAATCAAAATCATCTCTGTTTCTGTAAAATGTCTTCCATTCTATCAAATGAGACCAAGAAATCACAAATACAACTATAAAAGACATACGAAAAAACACTGCAAATTTGTTGTTTTAATAAAAAATTACGGTCTCAGTTTTTTTTCTCTCATTATGTACTATGTGCTGCAGGATTTGTTTTATGTGGTGCACACATACCATATAGATATATTCTCTCATATCAAGACCAAAATTTACCGCTCACAGCTTATCAGAGTGAGCTGAGCTCATGACGTAGATCTACAGTTTGGACCCTCAACGTAAAGCCGTAGATCTGTGGCACGGACCCTCGAGGGGTTAAATAAAGGCAGGGGTTGGCTGCCTTCAGAAATTTTTTCAGACACTCATGAATCCTTGAGATTTGGTTCCTAAAAAAAATATGTATGCAGGTTGCAAGAATAAGCCTCCTACTTGCTGCCTGCTAGTTCCTGCTGTGGTGGCTTAATAGTGTGGCCCTCAGATACACTCCAGGGTAGGCTGGTCTTCAGTCTTCTTTCACATTTTTGAACTGCTGTGCAATCATTTCGAGTGGAATTATAAGATTTTGCTTTTGGAGCAATGAAAAGATGAATGTCTTAGCCATACAGTTAAAAGATGAAAAGGAATAGCACTCTTAGAGATTGTACAGAGCTGTGTATTGTATAATAGTTATAATATCTACGGAATTTCTTCTTTTTTCAAGAAACCAGCCATATCCCACCGAAGCAGGGTGGCCCAAGAAGAAAAACAGAAGTTTCTCCTTTTAACTTTAGTAATGTATACAGGAGAAGGTATTTTAGTCACCTCTTCGACACTCATGGCTTACTGAGGAAGAATTCTGTTCCACTTCCCCATAGGGATAAGAGGAAATAACAAGAACTAGTAAGAAAACCCAGAGGCGTGTGTGTACATATGTTTGTATATGCAAGTGTAGTGTGACCTAAGTGTAAGTAGAAGTAGCAAGATGTACCTGAAATCTTGCAGGTTTATGAGACAAATAAAAGACACCAGCAATCCTACCATTATGTAAAACAATTGCAGGCTTCCGTTTTACGCTCACTTGGCAGGACGGTAGTACCTCCCTGGGTGGTTGCTGTCTACCAACGTACTACCTAAAATCTATGGAATTATTAACACTATACAATTATTAATCATGAATGAGCTCTCCTCTTTGGTATAACAGGTAATCATTAACATTCTGATTTTTAACTCAGTACAGCAAAGGCAAACAAAAGGACTGAGTTATGCGAAGACTTCAGTCCTTTAAAGTTTTCATTAGCCAAGGATGCTTAAATTCATAGGGCCATTATTTTTTGTTTTTTTTTTATTTTTCTGAAACTGTTCATCAGAGGAACAAGGGCTCATAATTTACATTTATCCAGGTAGACAATGATGCCTTTTGATACTCTT